CAGCATTGGATCGACAAAGGACCATTAAATTGTCTATCCATCTTGATATAGTCCATGTGAAGATTCGTGTAAGAGTGAGAAGAAAATAATAAGAAGACGTGATTGTGCTGTATATCATGGGAGGAAACTAATCTAATCTGTGCTAGAATGAGGCTAGGAGCCTGTCCACCAGTTGACCCTGCTAAGAACAGGTCAGTCTGAAGCGATGGTTAGGATTAGCATACAATGAGGATAATCTGCCTCACGCTGCTCAAAACAAGGTTATTCTCATCACCAGAGTTAGCATTGAAGGTTTTCAGTAAAAAAATAATCCCACGTCACCGAGAAAGTTTTTAAGGACAAGGTTCGATTTCACAAGAGTGTGACCATGTCGGTAAGACCAAGAACATCACGCACTTATTTACAACCATTGGGCATATTTATTTTATAGATGCAGTCAGTCATAGGTGGATCATTATTAGGTCATACGTGGATTATCACCTGTCGTGGGCCTCGATTTAAACATGGGCAGCGAGTCAACAGCATGGAAGGCAGAGGAAAGGATTGTTCTAGACTTAGAGGGCAACAGAGTATGAGCAACATCCCACTGAGCAAAGGTTTACTGGGGTCTTCGATAGAAATCCTAGGTTGACAGAAATAAAATGTGGAGGGGACAGATGAGATGGTAGCATTAGACAGGGTCGAGACCATGGAGGCACTCTGCAAGATGGTGAGTGTGATCTTGAAATTGATCTGGGCTTAGATTAGGAGCCAGTGGAGGGATTGGATGATTGAGGTGATGTGGTCTCGTTTACAGGAGGGGGTGAGAAGTCTGGCAGCAGTATCTAGGATCACCTGGAGTTTAGAGATGAGAGAGTTGCAATAGTCGAGTTGCAATAGTCAAGTGGGGATATGATGAAGGCATGGATGAGTCCGTGCACCTCATGAATTTTGCTAACAGTATTTTTGGATGATCTGGAATGTATGGTCCGTTTTGTTTAGGATAATTGATTCTTTGCTTTGGTGACTCGTTCCACATGAAGACCCTGAACTGCAGCCCATTCTGGTTTTACATTTTCTTAGTTTTCCTCAGTCAAATATATGTAATGACACCCCTTTTCCAAGCTATACATAATAAAGTAGTGCCAAATGTGTGAACACTGCTGTTGTAAAATAAACTTGAGTAATTAAGACTTGGTGATAAATAGAAGTTCACACGTGTATATTTATTTATCTTGCTCAACACATATTTTGCGGTCTCAGGCTAATGTTCACTCCCAATAGTCTTTTGAAAGATATTCTCTGTAGAGGACGTCATCATCAGCCATGATCTATCCATAGGTGGATGAAGGTCTCAAGCCATAACTATCTCTCAGTCTCATGATGCAACAATCCTTCAAGCTCCCAGCGCATAAGCTGGCCTCATCACTCCATCTCCATCGTGGATACTCGCTCTGGTGTATTCCCCAGTTTGGCTGTCGCTCCATCATTCGTCTCCACCAAGGGTCGTTATACCTTTCTAGCGATGTACCCGGCCTAAGCCAATCTATATTTCTTAAGACTAAATATATCGTTTCAAACTTGACCAATGTGTTCCAGTGTAATTCCTTCTTTGCACACGTTTTAGATTGTATTCCATTTTTGTTTGTCTACATCTTTGCTTCTGATACGTATGTCAAAGCAAACTATATTCACTGATTAAAAACTTCATAATTTAGGCACATTGGTATTTTGCTTTTTATTATTAAAATAAAGCCTTCCAAAAACACTTCAACTTGCTCTTGCCCTATAAGTTGGTAAACAAGTTATGATATCCCTTCGATGTTAACAACTTGAAAATACATCATATTATGGACACCTTTGTGGTTATCACAGGTGGACTGTGATCAATATGACTGTAGCATACATCGCTCCAGAAAACTGAACAAATTAAAGTGTAGATTGCCCGTGAGCAATGTACATTTTGCAATTATAATCCAGTCTCAGCAAGCACAACAGACCATTTATTGGTGTTTGCTAAGAATAAAATATTTTCCATGCATAAGGGATGGTTATATAATGAAATAAGAGTGCAAACGAATGCACCGTGAATAATAGCAGCATGAGGAGATTAAGTATAGCAGAGATGTTATGTGCAGCAGAGTCGAGTCAAAGTAAAATGTTATAAGATTGGGTGCAGTATTTGGGTTCACAAACTCACAAAGCGCTGTCAAGGTATTATCTCTAAGCCGGAGTAGATCCTGTTTTGAGCCCCAGTGGATTAAGCACCATAGCGTCGTGTAGCCATGGCGCTGCAGCCTCGTCTGCCATCCCCGGGGCATATGTGTGATGCTGATTGTGGAACGAGGGACGTTTTTAGAGTCGGAGAAACAGAACAGATTGAACACCCATGGTGTGGGGTAGGTGACTCATCTCAATGTTCCATTGTTGGTGGCGGTGATGGAGGGGATGTGGGAGGCAATGTGAAGGGATACAATGGATAAGATTGATGTTCCTATTTAGTTTATTCTTTATTCTAGACTATTTCATATTTTAAGGTCCAGTAGAGAGTTACAGTATAGTGTATTAAATCACACACATTAAAACATACTATTTGTCATTCATGAAAAATACCACATTTATTCAAGATCAATGAGCATATGTATGTGTCAAAGTTTAAGTTTCTTCCTGCCCATATGAGCAACATGAGGTATTGCTCATCTTCACTGGGAGCACTGAGCAAACCGTGGAAATTACACATTCCCATGTCAGGGGCCAAATAAAACAACTATCTTGATGACCCACGTCTTTCTATGTTAGCATACCTGGCATGTGTGTAAGCATAACTAAAATCAACAAGGGGAGATGAGCCATATCGATACAAGGGAGAGTCAAGAGGAGAGGCAAGTGTGGTAGAACAAGGTTGACTGATACTCATCGCTGTGGATGTGTTGGCCACTGCAGGAACAACACCTAATTGTGACACATGGAAAACTTGCCGTGTGCTTTATATTGTAATTCCACTCCCACAGGTAAATTTGCACATTGCTGCGCCTCATACAGGTTAGCAATAGTGTTCGTTGTAGATTTTTTTCATAACCAGAAAAGAGCCCATTGAGACCAGGGAGAGGTTGCATTAAAATATCTGTAAGTAAATATTCACCTCAGGTTGCACTGATCTAGATGGGAAACAAAGATATTTAATGTTTTACTTAAGATTGTTTATGCAACTGACCACAGGGAACCTGGGTTTAAAACATTACATTAAAACACAAAATTGCAAATGTATAAACAAACCAAACAGAAAAAAACACCAATCTTGATTTGAAGCTTTCGTGACTGCAGGAATCCACACAGCAGGAGAAGTCAGCAGTTCTCCTGCTGTGGTTGTCTCACCTGATGACGATTGCTTGTGTTGCGATCGAAACGTCGTGATCTATTAATTTTCTATCTACGTGACTTTACCGAAAGAACCAAAGAGTACCATTCTAGAGAGTGTTAAACATCAACACTTATCAGGTAATTAATAATACACACCCGTGCATAAACGCGGTGTGTGAATCCATTCATAAGGGCCGTCTGTGAATACTTGTTACACTCTGAAGCATGAAATATATTATTTATGATCATATTACATTTTACCACGGAGAATGCCTGAAGATGACATATATTGTAGCCCAAGTGTCCTTTAGCGCTACAGGAATGAACAACGAATGTGTTTCTACGTTTGTGATTCTTAAACATTGCCGTGGTGATATAAGTAAACAAATAGCTATACAAGGTGGAAGCCAATCTTGATTTGAAGCGTTCGTGACTGCAGGTATCCATACTCTCTGGTTCTTTCGGTAAAGTCACGTAGATCTATTCAGTTTCTACCTACGTGACTTTACCGAAAGAACCAGAGAGTAAGGTGGAACCCAATTACCTTCCTGTACTGCATCGAGTTTGGAGACAAATTGGCTGTGCTTTCAAATGCGTTTTGCACAACAAAGTGTTCATAAAAGCATAATTACAATAGTACCCAAGGCCACTGAAACATCCAATTTGACCCTACCATAAGTAAACTTTGCCTTAATACATAATAATGTTGTATAATTCATGATAATGTAAACAACCATACTGTGAATACTGAAAATGGTTTGCTGGTTATATAATATGCATACTAATTATAGTGTAATTTATATATCCAGAAAACTCCCCCTGAGTATATGAGCACATTATTTTTTCAGGAAAGTTTCTGCATTGTGTGTTTGGCCAAATCCATTTGAAAGGTTGTTATGTTGTGCATGTGGGAAGAAACCGAAGTACCTACACAAAACCTACCACAATACTAGAATATAACAAGAAATAATGTAATGCGGTAGTGGTTGAAAAGCAGATGAAAAAGCGTGCTAGAAATATGCTCAATCCGGCATTTTTTTTGGCAACTTCTGGCCTAAACAAACATATTGGCAATTGAGTACAGTACAAGAAATATAGCATCGGTCCTGATGCAACTGGTACTGTTGTGTTTTTAAAACAACTAAAAGGTGATTATCCATACATGTAAACAAATAATTATGGTACTTTTCAGCATTTACAATGGTGTGCAAACACAGACTGTCAGAAACAAAATCCACCACGTCATTTAAATTGCCTCATCAGAAACGTATATTGTAGGCTGATGTGTAAGGCAACGTTCCCGCCTTCAGAGCAGAGAGAGGGATTAAGAGTGCCTGACTCGCAGACGAAGACTATACTTTCAACGTTTAAGTTGGCAAACGAACAGTTTTTTTAAGTCACGTAAGAGCACACGCTCTAAGCACGATACTCCCACAGTAAGCGTATATATGGGATATATTCTATGGGTGTCTGAGACCCAATTCGGGTCACCCCTAACCTCATCCATTCGTAGCTCGAGCAAACGCACTAACAATCGACACACGCGCTGATCTTCACAATTGATCGGGGAGTTCAGTTCATGCACTCGAGCGCGGTCGATGCGCTTACCCCTGTGCGGGGGCTTGGGCATTGCGTTTGAATTGCGCGCTTATCCGGCTTACCCGCAGGTGCAGATCTCGCAGATGCACTTGCGTTGCTTCATTGCTCCCCTCTGTTGCTCTACTCTCTTAATCCTTGCTGTTGCTCTCTTAATCCTTGCTGTTCCTGATGCTGCTGCTGCTAATAACAAATGGAAATGTAACGACGAGCCTTCGTTAATAATAGGTTAAATGGGTGTTTTGTTTATTTGGCGATTTTTTTTGTACGCGTCACTTTCACACACTGAAGAGCACCAGATAGATACACGAGAAAAATGAATAATGAAATCGACCGATGATGCTGGATGTAATAGCCAGCGAAACGTCGTACTCTGATTGGTAAATGTTGTGGATTCACTCTTCAACACACCGGTCGGCTGAAGTAGTGAACTATTTGGCGTTTTGTTTGCGTGACAAATCCCTTAACGATTGGCCGTGTCGGGTGGTGGAGGGGTTTCGACACATTTATACTTACGCGCGCCATATGACATCCTCCTTCCTCCAGCACGTAATAATAGGTAAAAGAGTTAAATGTAATCGTCGATTAAATGAGTAAACATTTAATAATAGGTTAAAATGTCTTCACACAGTTTACAATGGAACTGTGGTCCCCTTACCACCCGAACACCACCCACTTATATACTCGCCATCACCATGTTTATCTTGAGGAAAAGACAACCCACAGTACAATTGTATCCATGCAAACCAAAGTATTAAGTAAACCGATGTAGTCTGCGCTCCTTAAACCGACGAATAGCAAAAGTAGCAGCTTCTGGACATATTGCCATATGCAACCATGTAAAGTAATGCTCATATTTATAATAAATTATTATGATAACAATTGGTTGTTAGTAACACTTGCGAGAATTTATGAAGACGGTTGGATTCAGTTCTCGAATCATCTTTAATTGTTGCTTTTCATTTGTCATGCGAAAGCATATCATTACAATTATAATGCTCGTAATACTGAATACGAACGATGCTTACGGTTATGATTAGAATTCTTCTACCGTATTTAACAATGAGTGATGTGCGATTATAAACATGAATTCCGATGTTCTACCTATATGTAGGGAAATCAAATGACAATCTAGGAGTCATATTCTTGGTTCTTTCGGTAAAGTCACGTAGAAGGGAAACAATAAAATAATAAAAATATAAAACAATAAAATTATCACGACGTTTCGACAGCAACACAAGCAATCGTCATTAGGTTTGAAAACCACAGCAAGAACATTTTGTGGTTTTCACACCTGATGATGATTGCTTGTGTTGCAGTCGAAACGTCGTGAGAATTGTATTGTTTTATATTTTTATTATTTTATTGTTTCCCTTCTACGTGACTTTTCCGAAATAACCAAGAATATGAATCCCTGCAGTCACGAACGTTTTAAATCAAAATGTAATCTAGGAGTCCCTCCAAACACAGCTCCATAAAAGCACAATTCACCAGACTGAAGGAACAGCTTGGTAAAACCCTAGACTTTCACCAAAAACAGTCGTAAAAATATTTATGTTTTATGTATATAACAGGCGATGTTTCGGGCAATGACCCTTCTTCATATCAGAGATATTGATGAATTTTGATTAGGTTTTTTTGTTATACGTGCTGGTCGCGCACCACAATATCACAAAGACACGAGTATTAGAACCAACTGAAACATCACAAACACGATTCAGAGCCGGCCAGTGGCTATGCATGAGAGGCAGACAATAACAAACAACAATAACAACAACAACATTAACAACAGCAATAACAAACACACGGCAGTCTCAGCAGCCTCCATCAATTGACACTCGAACCTTTACCAACCAACGACAGAATCGACTTTAACGCAACGTACCGTAACGTCCTTATATACTTACACAACACGTAACGTCCTTATATACTTACACAACACCTAACGTCCTTATATACTTACACAACACGTAACGTCCTTATATACTTACACAACACGTAACGTCCTTATATACTTACACAACACGTAACGTCCTACGTACACAAAACAATGAATGCCGGCACTGTGGCACACGAGGGGGGTGGGTGTCCAGCACCACTCCCGGCCGCCTTTGTCTCCCCAGTGGCGATGCTCACTACACACCGCACCAGGCACTCGTTTGAGGCTGAGTCGACCTAGGGGAGGCCCAGGCACCAGGTGCAGATAATCGCCGCCGCTGGTGTTGGCCGTGAACTCGGCTCGCCGGGATCGCAGTGCAGCACGCTAACCGCTACACAACCGCTCCCCCATACACACAAAGCCGCTCAGCGTGCAGGATAACAACACGTAAATAAACACACACACACACCGCGGGCGAGTCTAACACGAACGAGCGAGCGATCCACCTCCGCCCATCCATCTCTGCACGACTACCTTCGCCTCGCCGTGCAAACGCAGCCTCGCCCCGCACAGCGTTGTTGAAGCAGACGGACACTGGAATGATGATGATGTTGGTGTTGTTGGTATTGGTGACGACGGTGGTGGTGTTTGGTTGTGACGGCGACGATGACGGTGGGTGGTGATGATGAGGACGATGATGGTGGTGATGACGGTGGTGGTGATGGTGAGGACGATGATGGTGGTGACGGCGGTGGTGGTGGTGGTGGTGGTGGTGATGATGATGAGGACGTTGGTGGTGGTGGTGATGGTGAGGACGATGGTGGTGGTGGTGATGGTGAGGACGATGATGGTGGTGACGGCGGTGGTGGTGATGATGATGATGGTGAGGACGTTGGTGGTGGTGGTGGTGAGGACGATGGTGGTGGTGACAGAGTGGTGGTGATGATGATGGTGAGGACGATGGTGGTGGTGATGATGGTGGTGATGGTGAGGACGATGATGGTGGTGACGGCGGTGGTGGTGATGGTGAGGACGATGATGGTGGTGACAGAGTGGTGGTGGTGATAATGACGATGGTGTTGTAGTGGTGACGATGACGATGGTGTTGTGGTGGTGACGATGATGACGGTGGTGACGACGGTTGTTTGTTGCTATCGCCTTCAACCCACCTCGCGTACGTCCGTTGTAACCAGGGAAGCCGTTGCTAGGCTGCGCGTGACGTCACATTCGCGCGTGACGTCACCTGCGCGTGGTGAGGTCACGGGCGGGTTGTGCGCTGCACGTGCGCGGGGTGGTGGTGCTGCTGGTGGTGGTGGTGCTGGTTGGTGGTGGTGCTGGTGGTGGTGGTGCTGGTGGTGGTGCTGGTGGTGCTGCTGGTGGTGGTGGTGCTGGTGGTGCTGGTGGTGGTGGTGCTGGTGGTGCTGCTGGTGGTGGTGCTGCTGGTTGGTGGTGGTGGTGGTGCTGCTGCTGGTGGTGGTGGTGCTGGTTGGTGGTGGTGGTGGTGCTGGTGGTGGTGCTGCTGGTGGCTCGACAACAAGTCAGGATCTTTATTATTTTAAACAATCAGGAGGAATCTGATCACCCGTAAAGCTCTTTTTTTCCCACAGACGTGCAGTCAGGGCGGGTAAGAACGTTGCAACAATATTTCTACATACGTGACTTTACCGAAAAAAAACAATGAGTAATTTTATGCAGTCACGAAAGCTTTAATACTTTATTAACAATAGGAGTGCTAAGTGCAAAAAGTAAATAAAAATCCCACAAAGACATACAAATACTGTACAACTAAACCATTCCCCATCCTACCGTACAAAGCCCACTGGGGTATTAACTTATAGTTCAAAAGCCACCTGGCCATAAATGGAGGAGGAATCCGATGAGCTATGAAGCTCTTTTTCACAGATGTCCAGTCGGGGCACGGGGTCAAAACGTGAGAACACAAACAGTACAACAACAACAATAAGAATAGGAAATTTTGATTTAAAGGTTTCGTGACTGCAGGGATTCATGTTGTTTTTTTCGGTAAAGTCACGTAGAAGGGAAACAATAAAATAATAAAAATATAAAACAAATCACTTTAAATATATTCAGATAAAGTTTTTTTTTCAAATAAAGCCCACTGAGCTATGAGCTTCGTTTTTCAGAAGCGACTTGGCCATAAATGATAGCTCAGCGAAGTGGCTTATCGCGTGGACATTTCTAGCGGTCAAATACTCTAAATAATTTGTACCCGGGTGCAACGTGACTCTCTATGGCGCAGCGTGACTGAGTCAGCCACGCTGCGTATTCCTCATTCTGGAAACGTTATTCTAAGCATGCATCTCCACGGTGTTTTTGCAAACAATCCGGGTTTTTGGGCTCCGTAATTTTTGTTTGTTGTTCGATTTAAACTCGCGCTGCCCACGCACTTGCGTGCCATACACGACCGGGTTGCAGGGTGGGTGGGGGGAGGCGTGACGTCGGCACGCAGATGTGCGCGGTGACGTCACCGCCGCACACTTGTCCGACAGTTGGCCAGCCAGCAAAACTTTTTTTTTTAATTTATATACACACTCATTGTATCAAATGACGTGTGATAAATGTAACTGAATCTGGAACCCCTATTTCAATTGAGCAGTGGATCACCCATTGCAAAATTATGAAGCTCGAGAGGGGTGAAAAATAATTCCACCCCTGGTCAATAACAAACCGCATTGCAGGTTTCATTTGCATTGGCACAGCCCGATGCAAATAGATTCCTCTCTGGCCCACCACCCTGGTTACCTAGACACCGCCACCGCCCCATCAAAACTTTGATCCACGAACTTGCCACTGATGAATCCTAAACATTGTCTGATGTGACTTAGGCAAATTGTAGCGAACACCAGTTTTTTTTTGTAAGGACACCTGATGGATAGGCATTTTATTCATTTCTTAATTATTATTAGTCGCGCGCCACCATTATCTAGCTGGCAGACTCGCATTTTTATTTATTTATCGTAAAATGGGAATGTTTATTCGCGGTAGAAAATTAGTTTTTCCAGTCATTGACTATCCACATATTCCAACTAGACGTCAGGAAAATCGTTTTTTTTTATCTAATATACACATGACATGTGCATATTTGTATATGTATGTTGAAGAATACGGAGTCATATACTCGCATATGATCTGACCAAATGTGTCAGTATCACCCTGTGGAAGAAACCGCAAAACATGCATTTATCCAACATTATTCTTTCCTTCATGGCAGAAAGATGGATGACCTTGAAAATTAAATGTTGAACAGTTATTATTATAGTGTTTTAAATTTAGCAATTTGGCATGAGTTGTATTTGATGGACAATGGCATCTCAGTTTGGCTTAAATTCCCATGGTGTATCGACTACGAATGACCGCCGCACGCAACACCTTCAGACAGCCGAGCCAAGTGGCACTCCGTGCAACAACACAACTGAGGCCAGATGCCACTTCTTGGCTCTTGGCTGAAAGGAAAAAGCATTATATTAATTACTGGTAGTTCAAGGAATAATCATACCTCACACTGAAACGTTTCTGTAGTCTGAATTGCAATATATTTTTGTGCCGCAAGAATTTCCCTTTAGATTTCTTTTTTGGAAGCGTTAGGCATTCCACGTGCACTGCGGTGTTTACCACTGGGCCCTTACGGTTGGCAGTGTGCTGTAAATTCCACAACGAACATCCTTATCACGAAACATTTCACCCCTTCGATAGGAAGTACAGTACATTGATTGACAGTGTACTTTTTGGGTTACAAATTGGCCGCTGATAGTTTTATAATGGGTATACGATTTTTATTTTTTAAGCTTTTGGTGAACTTGCCAACATGGTGTATTACTTTAACGTGCCCAATTGTTAATTGAATTAGTTGAAAAATATAAGAGTCCTGTTTGTGGAATAATAAGGAAACGATTTCAATGAGTAATTTGAGAAAAAAACTAAAGTAGGTACATCTATGATATAACGCTTTTCTTTATACCTATGTAGTGAGCGACTCCCGAGACACGTCGAGTAGAAGGCTTCTTATTTATTAAGAGCACACTGTGCGATACATTGTGTAACGCAGCTACACATAGGCGATCCTAACACGTAGCCCCATCTCCGGCTTCGCTACGCAAGCTGTTCGACCAGCGCAGCAACGGCGAGAGTTTTTCAGCCACGTGGTCGGAGACGAAGAGATGACGACGAACAGCGACGCAGCAAGGACCCAGGACTCGCAACAACCACGAACCTCTGGTTCGGTCCCCCTGAAATCTGTCCCGGCGCGGCCAAGCTCCACCTTTGGCCACGCCCCCTTTCCAGAACCTTCGAGCTGGTTCCCGGAGCTTCTCGACTGACTCCACCTTTCACCTTTATCCCATTATAATAAGGCTTTATGTAATGCAGCCGTGACCGTAATTACCACTCCCAGCCGACAGGTGTCACCCTGTCATTACACCTATATGGATTCCAGCCAAAGGCGTGAATCTATCAGAAGTTTAGATGTTCAAGCAAAGGGCCACTAGGGTAGGGAGGGTAGTGGCAGTTGCTCGCCACCCTTTAAAGTCTTTTAGAGGTCATTATATGCAAAATACTATTTTTTGTATTTTTCTTGAATGTCACATTGTAAAAAAAAATGAAATACTTTTGCTGGAACAACAGCATGCGGAGCTTGTTACACCACTGTGTGCAAGCACTCATTCATTCAACCACACTGAATATCAAAGCAATTCCACGTTGCTGCTTGTGGGATCCGAAACATATTGATTCCAGTGTCGGAGTGATGAAATATAGCAGTACCGGCTTAGCAGTGTCGGCCCTGTGCCTGGCCCCTTTGACCATGCCTCTATATTTCCAAGATGATTTGGCAAACCATTTGAGGTTGGATTCAGAGCAGGACACGGGTGATGTTGGCGATGAGTAACGGATGTGGATTCCCATGGTGAGAACTGTTGGAAGCATGAGTGTGCTGCTCGGCAGGGCTTGCCATCGACAGCAGATCCACAGATGTGCCTGAGCAAAGTCCTATGGGGAAGAGGGTGGGGTATTGGCTGTGGGCTACTAATTGTTCGTGGTAACAATGGAGTTATACACTCCTGGGGGAAAAAAAGTGATGGAAATTAAAAAAATAATTATACAATATTGGCTTTCTAATAAAATTCAGAAAAAAAGTTGTACGTTGTAAACACTGTTGTGTGGAGTTTGTTGTGGCCTGAAACCCCTACAGACAGCGGCCTCAGAAGTACCCTGCACCAAACCACAATTACATGTCCATATGGGTCTACACAACAAGGGATTTCACCAGCCACGATCAATGCTTTCTACCATTTGTGCACATCAATGTCCTACTGCATCAATTTGATGTTTTGCCCATGGTGTATGGCAAATTAGTGAATTCAACGTCTATTCTTACCTAAACAGTAAATTTGGCAAACACTGCCAGACCAAAACAACCTTGGGTGTAGTTGTAGGAAATGATAAATGATCATAATATATTGTTTTTTAATGTCTAGTGACCTGTGAAACGTGGTCTCGCCCTGCTGACTATGGCCATCATCCAAGAATTTAAAATACAAAGCAACTAATGTTTTAACATGTACCGCTAAAATATGTAACGTCGCATTATTTACGCTTGCACGACACTAGCCACACAAAATACCACCACTTGCACATTTTGATGGCATGCAATCGCTGTGTGCATTCGTAAAGATAAGGTACATACGGTTTATGTTAATCACTATGTCAAAAGCACAATGTGTCCAGCCGCTTGCTTCATTGTTACTGAGCGATGTTACGTGCGTCAATGTGGACAGGTTAAATCAACTTTCTCCCCCCACCCCCTTCTGGCATTGGCTGCAGTGTAAGCGAGTGACTTCAACAATGGGTTTAAATTGCTCTATTATGATGAGCTTTGGATGCACATTGCACCTTCCTAGATACTCATCACCACAGCTATTCCTATCGAGCTCAAGCTGGGGTGTGCAGGGCTCCAGAGTGAGCTAGAGGCAGGTTGGGGCGACTTGCTCCGACTTACACCTCACATTGGCCAGGCTCTCTGGAGAGATCTGCACAATGCTGTTTCCATAGGCCAGAGAACTCGAGTACTTGTACAGCACAACGAGAATGACAAGTTGTAGACTTAGAAGACCAAAGGACCTTAATTATCTTTCAGATATGTGGATGAGAATGCATGATTTGGAGAAAGAAAAAAAAACACATTTTTAAGTAACCTGTATTTAATAAACTACTTTGCTTAAATTAATACCCATTCTGGAATGGAATTCTGACTAACCGAGTACAGTATATACTATGTATTTTTGCCAAGAAAGAATTTCCATGAGCCACGACACACATTTCGTGCGTTTTCAAAGAAACAGTTGTACAAGCTGAGCAGTGTGCATCGTACTTTGAAACAAGCCACTGCAAAAAAAACAAAAGGCTGCCAATTAACTTTTAATCGTTAAAAGGATAGTGTGTTGCCCTCGGTAATTTAATACCCCAGGCTGCGTGGGCTATGACCAACCAGCTGCGTTTTCAGCTTCACAGGTTTCTGGACCTCTGACTCTGAGCCTTAACCCCCAATTGCCGCGTAAGTGGGAGGGGTATACAATTTTCAAAAAGGTTCCCCACCCCCGAGTCACCCGCTTATAAAAGAGTCCTCCACGCGGCACTTGCCGTGATAAATGAAGCAGAATCCAGTGACGCACATGATGTACGAGTTAGAACTAAATTGGGCAATGCTTTTCCCGACGTGGGAATATCGTGTGCGCGCAAGGGCTTTCAAGAGCAGCGGCAATGTCAGGGCGGTCACGCATCGGGCTATTCATCAGGCAGGGCACATCACACTTCGGTGAACCGGGCTGAACCCGAGATGCACTTTGACGCGTGGTTCAATCAACCTTTCAGGAAACAACTTTCGTTTCAAGAGACTCGCCCACCCCGTTGTAAACACTTTGTCCCAGGGCACAGGCCCTGGATTAATACCTTGCTCGTCAACTTTCGTACACGCACTTTGCTCGGAGGCCTCGTGGTAGGAAACGAAACTTCGTGCATCCGTGCGCGGCCGATCGCCGAGGCGACGTTATCGTTGCAACCCACGATGCAGCGACGTATTTTGCGGACACAAAAACTTCGGTGGCGCGAAGCTCGCGTTTGAAAAGTGATTTACTGCGAATGGTCCAAACGAACAGCCAAGAAGAGTGTCTCAGAAAGTCCAGAGTACGGTTGGAACGTCTATGGAAATGCAGGAAATGAGTTTGGATAAAGTGATAAAATGTCACCCTCCCGTGATCAACGTGTGAGCCTGCATTGCGTGAAGTTACATAAGTGCACGCAGCCCCTTTGACAGTGCCCGTAAGGCTGCACATTTAAACAAGGTTGACTACAGCCTTCTAAAGGTTTAATATCATCCCTCACGAATCTTCATTAACAGGACTATGAATAAAATAAAAGTCACACAAAGTTATATATCACACAGCTGTCAATGTTCTCAAAAAAAATTCTCACTTTTTTAAACACCATAAAACGTCGCAAGCACAGCGTTGTGAATGTTGAAAAGCAGTCGCCATTTAAAAGCAGTCGGACATTCTATCTGATATGTGCCTGCCACTTGTCGAGAGCTAGAATATTGATGTGGAACCCTGATGTGTGGGTCCCCTGTGCAACAGTGTACGGGCACGGCACCCTCTGCAGAGTAATTATAAGAACACAAACAGGACGGTGCTGTGGCTTGCTTTAAAAAAAACGGGAGGCCAATCAATAATTTACCAGTGGCTATATTGCATTGTGAGCTTAGCCTGGCATTTCATCGTATACATTCTCTTACATACAGGAACACCGTGGGGTAATTTCTGACATGTAGCACGTGCCAATTTACGGGAAATTGTGAAATGTAACAGTTTCAAGTGACCTCAGGTTCAAACGCGTAAGAAAGAGAGGCGTTCACGTGGCCATCGGCATTAAATGCAGTTGACAAAAATACAGCAACGGTGTAAACCATAGCAAAACAACATTCCACCGTTATACCTACCACAACAATCCCCTCTCAGATTCTTAGAACATGTTCTGACATCAGACACTGGGCTGTAGATACCAGCTATGGCACAGTGCACTCTGCAGTTTTCCTGCCCAGAGGCTGGGGGTTGGTGAATCGCTTGCAGAGAGAAGCTAATGCTTTTTCAAATTATTCTATCACCGACTATTTGAGAGTGAACCCTGAGAACGGAGACCTTTATGTTATCCCACAAGCAATACGATTCTCTATTAGGTACTGTCATAGTAAAGGCACTCCATCTTGAGACTAACAATGTATTGGCAAAAAAAACGTTGAGTGGAACCGACTCAAGACCCAATAATCATCACATCGCCCTTGCTATCTCTGTGCATCACTATTTAGCATGGATCCTGCATGGTCAAGGTCGAGTCATAGCTTACACTGCATACGATTTATGCCCTGGCACTTACATTTTTTGGTATTTCCTCCATGACCACGAGAATCGAGTGAGGATCTGAGTACAGATTATTCATATTCTTGGTTTCTTTCGGTAAAGTCACGTTGAAGGGAAACAATAAAATAATGAAATATATATATAAAACATTTTATATATAAAATATATATAAAAAATTATATATAATTGTTATATATATTTTATTATTTTATTGTTTCCCTTCAACGTGACTTTACCGAAAGAAACCAAGAATATGAATCACTGCAGTCACGAAAGCTTTAAATCAAAATTTTACAGATCATTCGTCGAGTCTGCAAGTCACGTTGACGGTGGGAACATAACCATCCACCAAAGATGAACATTTTAATTTATTCACGTACACATTCGAAATCATAAGGCTGACAATTAATTGATACAATGGTAGTTAGCTGACATCTGAACATTACATAATTACATAATTTAAATAGAACACACACACACGTGCTCGCACGTCAACACGAGCACAAACACATACAGGGATACCATGAAGTGCATGACCCAAGTTTATCTCCCGTTGGAATAGCTGCACATTCCTGCAAAAATGCCGCAGATGCAACCTATGTTTTTCTTTCCCCAGGGTTTATTTGTCATAGAATATCAGACATGGGAGTGAGGTGACTTGGAAGGCGAAAGTCTCCAGAGTTCTGGAACTAGGTGGCAAGTTAACCACATGGGTATTGAGTGCATACCGTTAACCAACACCTGTTCATTCCAGTGCCATTCATTCATGAATTTGCTATTGTTTTTCCAATATATTATTTGTATTGTAATCAACGGAGCATTGAATGAATAAGCATAGTTTACATCGTCATGTGTTGCTGGTGCTGCTTTCTCTAGATGCACGATGGCCGGGTGTGTTATTGTTAATTATTATATTAATAACTTTGTGTATGTATGTATGTATATAAACGATAAAGTGTGCCCACGGGTAATACAGAAGCAAAGAATTCTGGCCTCGGACTTGTCTCGGACACCACGAAGAAAGTGGTGAGGGGTGTGTCAGCTGGCCGCCAGCCATTCTGAATGAGCAAGCGCGAGGCCATAATTGTTCCGCTACTGCAGCGCCGAGCAGCGCACTTAAATCACCGTATCTTGACGCCGCGCCGACATCCGTTGTCAAACGCGCAAACGCGCGAGTTCATCGCCGCGAGAGCCGCGGAGGTGGCGGCGGCAGCGGCGGCGTTTCACACGGCCAGCTGCGCGAGCGAGTTGCGCAGATCGGCCAGCTCGGAGATCTTCCCGTCGAGCGAGCGCAGCGACGCCTGCAGCTGGGCCCTGCGCGTGGCATCGCGAGCGCGCCCGTCCGCCAGGCGCCGCTCCAGCTCGCGCAGCTGGCTCTCCATCTGATGGGCACGCTCCTCGGCAGCCTGCTCCCACCCAGGTGTGGCAGCGGGCGGGGGGGGGGGGGGGTTGGGGGGGGGGTTGGGGGGGAGAGATACCGGGAATGAAATTATTTGCTGTCGGACTCGACAAATTGTTTGGCGATGCCGCTTTGGCAGCGTCGCACGACAACATACAGCGACAAATGCTCAACACGTTCGGCTATAACGCTGCCTTAGAATTCTATAATAGGTGATGTTTCGCACACGTGCGGTGTGGTATGAAGAAGCACCATTGCCCAATATGTCGCCTATTATATATTTTCACGACTGACTAAAGTGCAATTCTTCTCAGCCTGCTCACCAATGACTGCACAAATGAAAGCGTCAAAGAAAAAAATTGCTTCTGAACAAATTCCAGGTCTAAATATGTGATATCGATTTGACTCTCCTGCGACAAAGATTCCTCTCATACCAAGGCCGTAATTATAATATATATTGGGGGGGGGGACACATCCCCCCCCCCAATATTCAAATATGCTAAAAATGTCCCCCCCAATATATTGTTGTAAAAATATATTTAAAAAAATAAAAATTGCGATGCTATGTTAATAAAAACAACAATTTGCTAAACTTTGGCCACAATATCTGGACTTGTCTTCATATAACAATGCATAGATTTCTGTTCATATGATTGTGGTTATGGTTGTACTTTATTAATCCCTACTCTCTGCCATTACATTCAATGAAATAAGAAAAGGTAAAAAAGTTAAACAAAGCAATGTAATACAATACACTATTAGACATTATTGTAATAAATAAATAAAAAGTCCATCCCATGTGTTAGTGAATTTTTTTATATTTTAGGCAGGAAATTAGTTTTCAAATTTAGATTTTTTTCTGGGGGGGGGCCCAGATTCCCCTGGAAGATTTGGTCTCCCCCAATGTTGACTCCATGGCTACGGCCTTGTGTTACACGCAGAGCAGGGCGCGAAAGTGATTCCCTCGACTGTGTGGACCAGAGCTGACTTGAAGGATTCTCAGTGATAGCCCTGTGGTATTTACTTCCAGGACTGATTTTCGAACACAAAGGGATGTTAATGCTGCGTCTCATCGTGATGGCAACATCACAATCGGCATCAAATCTGGGACAAAAGAAATAAAATAAGAAAAATAAACAATTTTTACACTCACCATACATGGCACCGAATTGTGTGTATCAAGAGCAATTATTGTGTAACGTTGCCTTTAGACGAATGAATAAGATGGAACAAACAGAAGATAGGCCAAGATAGACAGAACAAATGTGGTACGTAATTGGAGACAAAAGAGATATACATGAGACCGACAATGTAGACTGTGCAGACTAGACACACAGTACAAACAAAATACACTATAAACAAGACAAAAAGAATAAATTCCTGCAATGAATCATGGAGGGGGCATGTCAAGGAGGCTTTCAGATGTGACAGGACTGCTCGCCGAGCTCAGGGTGGCCTTGGCTGACTGCTAAGCCAGTATTGATGAGAGCTTTGTCTCTTCCAGAGAGCCATCCATTATGATACAAAGTTCTCGAGAGTGGAGTGTTATTGATCTCAGCGTGGAGACCAATTGTTGGCACAAAATATCTCCTATAATGGGTCATTGTTTTCTTCCACATTTGAGCGCACGGAAAATAATGAGCCCCACGTTTCATGGTTATTGACAGTTAATTTATTACGTAATTAATAAACGTAAAGAAGCACATTGCCATACGATATTAAATACATTATAATCACGAATATGATCTGTATTGGAATAACGGAGCCACAAGGAAAATAACCATCACTCAGGTTTCATTCTAACTTAAGCAGCTGCATGGCCAAACACTATCCCAAAAAAACTTTGCAACGAGCGAGCGCTGAGGATGGCAAGAAAAACAGTCAGAGAACCCTAAAGATGACGAAAAATGCAGTGTAACTCCAGGAAGACGGCCCATGTGGCTTGAAAAGCGCCACGCTGAGACACGCCAACTCACCCACGTGCGTATTGTTGGCCACACATCCCGCTCCCAGTCTTTATTGCGGCAAAAAACACCCGTGGGCCAAAATGTGGGAATGCTCTGAGGTCTGGATCAGGGACGAGAATCAGATATGCCGTTTCTAAATACTCAGGGGAGTTTTTTTTTTATGTTGTTGTTTCCCTAAACATAATAAGGACCCACTGTGCTAAAACACGTGAGCTTCGTCCATCGAAGACCAAAACAAATATATAAATAACCCTCACATGCAAATAAACAATGCAGAGTAAATGCCATTGCTGTAAATTATGAATAATGTGGTCCTCCTGCCAACGCTTTACCCTCCCATCAGGAGGGGCTATAAAAAACGCATTGGGCAATTTTGTTTGGCGCCTGACAAAGCCACAATTCACGGGAAGATTCGGCACGATGCGGTGGAGACACGTCGATACCGCCGGAGCCACGCTGTGGAGGGATTTACTGTCTTGGAAAGCAATGTTTGTCGATACCTCCTTAGATGCTGCACTTTACAAAAAAATAAGAGGTTACAAAAAATAACAGGCCAGGAGTAGAATCCCCTACTCTTTCAGCAGGATCCTGGCCGGGTTTGTTTTTTTTCAATTCCTTATTAATATTTTCAGTAACAATCAAATTATTGTCATTCTGTAAATGTGCTATTGCAGGTTTGCGAGAACTACCTTTAGCTTTTGCATGACATCCTCTTTCTGTCTGTGCACCTGATTAGAATCCTCTGACATCATCTTCAGCGTCCCCAGCTCCTGCCACGAACACAGAATTAAACGCACACGTGAGGCATGTCGCATAAAAACAAACCCACCACATTTCTGGGAGGCTCAACGAGTATAAAAGGTGAGCAGGCAGCACCTCCCTCCGTAAGTCCCACCAATTTTACATAGCCACGCTCATTCAATCACTAGCCCTGCGCCCACACGGAGTGGCCTCCTCCTCGCTCTCCCTGAGCTTGGCCCTGCCATCCTCAAGTGGTCATGCTCTTGGCCTGTATGAAACTGGCAAATTTTGAACCGCAATGAAATAACCATTTTTTTTCAAGTGTTTCTCGACATCGGAACAGGCTTCCGGAAACAGGGACTGCACTGGCCAAACCAGAGCATTCGATGGATTCACTCTCATGCGAACCGTCCCCGGCCAAGCTCAGCCATTTTAAACCCTTCCGCTTCCTTGGTGAATGGACACTTGACGCGGGGGTTTACGAACTAAAACATCGAGCGGACAACGCTGCGTCTCCACACATTCATTGTTTGCACAACGGGCGAGGGGGAGACCAGGCGAGGACGTGCAGGTGGCTCGCACGCAAGCGGGGCACCGCGAGTGGCCGCCCTCGTTAATGTCTACGGGCGTGCGCCCACCTGCTCCCGCTCCGCGAGCCGAGCCTCCAGCGCAGCCACGCGCCCGTTCAGCTCCGCGTTCCGCACCGCCAGCGCGTCAGCCTCGGCCTTCCGGCCCTCCAGCTCGGCCACCTGGAGGGGGCAGCGTGGAGGGGTCGGGGGGTCACGGAGTTCACGAAAGCACGTGCGCGCGCGCCACGCAAACAGCACGCTGCGCGCACACCTGCTCATCAGCGTGCGCGCAAGCGTGCGTCCAGCAAGGGAGGGGGCCTGGCGGCTCAAGCCTCCTTGGGGTGTGGGGATGCACTGGGATGGCTAGCTTGTGATTCTTTGACGACATCACTTGCAATTGCATTAGACTAATACCCTTGTCCATTTACGCATTAGTACGATAGCCACCCCAGATCTGTTTCATGTTTCTGTAACTTCTGTAATTTAATTGCAATTGCACTATAATTGGTCTGGAAATTATTTATTATTCAACACTGATTAATGTTCGTTAAATGTTTGATCACTCGTGATGCAGTTGTTTTGTGCTCTCATTTCTATTTGATTCAGTGCTATACTTTTGCTTTTGTCATTTTGGTGACTTGTGCCACTCTAGCGAATGAGACTATCCAGGTCTCTTGAAGTTCTTACCTGGTTAAACAAAATAAACTTGAAAATACAGCACAAGAGCCCTGCTGAAGTGCAGTCTGTAATCCAGCACGTTTGAGATGGGACTGATAGGTGGATTGCACAAAATTCACCACGCAGAGCTATGATAATGATGATAACAGAATGTATATCACCTGGAAGGCCCCACAAAGCCTCAAGCATTTTTCAGCATCTGTCCCATATTTGGATGTTCAGCCAATTCCTTTTTAAATAACGCTTTGCAAATGAGAGGACAGTCAAATGCCCCAGAATAAACTACAGGGGGATAACCCAAAAGTTCTGCACAGATGGGTCATGAACTTAACAGGCAACTCCTGGACTCCTCGCAACTCGGTGGGTTAGGGAGGGTTTGTAAATTTTCTTTGGGCCACGCATCAAAATTGTTGGATTCCAGGTGTACACCACCACACCTGGCTAATGCGGCCAGTAGATGGCAGTAGAGTAAGTGGGTTGTTCACGTACCTAAAGGCACGTGGTGTTTTGTGTTATCAGTCGGGGCATTGTCCTGGTGCTCTCGTTTCACGCGAAGTAACCAGCCACAGTTTTTGCCCAATAACCTCCCCTGCCCAGAATCCTCTTGAAAACGAAACGTAATCCTCAAGTGAATCTTCTCTCGGTAAATATTTTAAAATAATATTTTACTGTGCTTGCCCTCTAATCAGCATTTGCTGGCTATTGTTGAGGTGTACGAGGTACGTGAAGGTGAAATCTTGCAGAAACCTTTATTTATGCATGTATGTACGTTGAACTTCTTTCGCACCATACATAACCAAACCGTGCTGGTCGGAAGATTAACATTCATCAAGGGTGCACGAAGGCAGAGCAAAAGGAAGAAGCAGGTCGAACCCCACGTGGTAGAAGCTGGCTACAGGCACACCCCTTAGGAGCAAGGTCAGGTGTGCATGTATCAGAAGTAGTGAGCTTGTATCAGAAGTTGCCCTTTGCCCCCCCCCACCCCCCCAGTGTAATATACGGTGTGTTCCTTATCATGTAACTGTGTTTATATTACGAGAGCTTATATCTGTCAACATCTGTTGTATACAAAATTTCGAAGTAAAATGTGCTCTTTGATGACGTTGACAATGTTTAACGATGCCGAGCGATGGGAGATTGGGAGCCCCCTGCTCGGTTTGTGAATTCGTGCGTGCTGGCTCCGGCAATCGTTATTCGCCGAGATCAATTTACGAGGCGCCAAAGCAAATCGCCGTCAAACTTTAAGTGTGCAGTGGCGCTCTAGTCTCGATCCACGGTGATCCACGCACGGATATCCCATTGATTTCTAAATAACACTCTTTCTTATGAACAGGTGATTGAATATTCGGAAAGCAATTGTCCATATTTTCCAAAGGAGAGTAATTAAAGATGTAATACGTTCGTTGAAAATGGAGGAAGACATGTAGGAGGCTCAGAAATGAAATGTAATTTTCCCTGTATTTCATCCCTGTTAGTTTACCACCACCCTGAATTTCTCAATGCAGGTGAAAAGAACTCAAGGACGATGAAATGCAGCGACGTCCTGTAGCCGTGACGCTGAGAACGAACGCACTTCTTCATATTCTTGGTTCTTTCGGTAAAGTCACGTAGAAGGGAAACAATAAAATAATAAAAATATAAAACAATAAAAAAACAATAAAACAAGCACTTCTTCTTCTTGCTGCTGTTGGCCGCACCTTGTGCTGAAGTTGCTCGCACTCGTGCCGGCACGCTGCCATCTCCGCTGCCCACGTTTCCGTGCGGCCCGGGGCCTGCATGCCAGCCACAGGGCCCATCGAGAGGGGGCGGACCCCTTTGCCGTTCTGCGGGGGCCCATCCCGGCGCAGCACCGCCGCCTCGGTTGGCCTGCGCACGCGCGTGCGAGCACATTCAGTCATCCCTTTTGTTCGATGACGAGTACGGTACGCAAGTACGTTGAGCTTTATTTCGCACCATACGTCGCCGGCCGTGCTCATCGGTGGTAAGGAGAGTAACGTGGCTCCAGCGTGGGGGAAACAAGTAGCAAGGTCGAGTGGCGAGGCCTTGGGGAAACGGTGTGCCCGATCGTCGTTATCAAAGTTGTCATCGCGGCTCCTCCTACTTCGCGGCCCACGTGGCCACGAACGCGATCAATTTAATTTTATCTGAGGCCACAGACGCCGCTGAGAACCCGTTCACAAAAAAATACGTGCCTCTGCCAAAAACTGCCAACGATGCACATCCGTCTCATTTTGGAAAGTGGGAAAAAAATGGTCACTCTTTTCGATGTGCTAAATTGTGAAGGGGATCCAATATACAGAACTTGTTTGAAAGCAACTCCATAAATTAAAAAAAAAACAACAAAGATTAATTTCCTACAAAGTGGGGATGTATTACAAATGCAACCATGCACACAGCTGCGCGCATGACCTCTGGGGAACAAACGTTCACATATCGTTGTGTAAGTCAGTCCTACTTCACTTCAACTCAGTGGGTCATGAAAACCTAGGGATGCAGCCCTTGAGCTGTGCGCTTGATTGTGGAACGGCATTCGGAATCTGTATTTGGCATACGGGCGGCTGGCTTGAAATGCCCTGGTTTATTATACACCAGACGCACACCTCACAAGCGACACTTTGCAAGTGGGGTTAGTGCAGTGTTCTTCATTGCAAGGCCCGCAGTGGTGGATTTTAGTGCGGGCCCTGACGTGCGGCCCCCGACAATGCACAAAATGTGAGAACACCCCTTGCAGGCGGCGTGGCGGCCCTCAGGCTGACGTCTTATCGGTGAAAGTGCCGCCCCCTCCCCCGCCACCCCTCTGAAAATGAGTGAAGAACACTGGGGTTCGTACTCTTTGGGTTAGTGGGTAGCACAGATTATGATCTTGCAATCTGCCAAAATACCTGCAGGGGCACTGAAGAGCTCAACAAGGATAAAATACAATCATTTGTACATTTGGGATTCACAGACATGGCCTGTAGTAGTTCCGCGGCAAGGGGCAACCATTGCTAAGCGTAATCTCATTTGAGTATTGTGCGGTTACATTTTTAAAATTTGGCAAATGTGTTCCGCGATGGCAGCACATAATGGTCTAATCTCTTTTCAAATTGAGTCAAGGGGATATTTAACGTCCACTGTGGAGTAGAAGCCACGTGTTTTATGGTTGTCACACCAGCAGCGTTAATCGGGGGTGGCCCTGCCGCGTTTGGGACAACGAGCTTCCTCAACGAGCGGTTCGCGGGCTGCCGCCGAGTCACGCCGCCCTGGGCTGCCGATTCACACGTACGGACCGTTGAGCGCTGTCCCCTTGCAGTCGTGAGTTTCTGTCCACATGTGGAAAAATAAAATGCCTAATATGGAGTTGGCGACAGAGCCCTCGTGTAGTCCTTCCACCCGCCCCCCCCCCCCACCCCGTGCGCCTCCGATTAGCACAGTTGGCTACGTATGGTGGGAAAGAAGTTCAGCTTACATACAAACAAGTGCCCTGACACTCAGTGAGGCGTTCATGGGTAGGCAGTGTGTTTTCCCTATCCAAATAAGTCAGCGATTCCCCTGCTATATTGGCCATCCTCATGCAGTTGCGGGAATTTCACACATGCCTATAATAATGTTTTGACCTTGGAAAGATGATGGGGTTAATCAACGATTGCCCAGGATTTAAACTCGGGCATCTTATAAATGTGAGATGACACCTCCAGGACAATGGTGATCAACGCAAGGGGCTCAGCGTTCATTATATTCATAGAGGCGTAGCACCGTTGCTTTTAAAGACATTTTACTCACTGCAGAGAACCGTAGCGACACTGTGCCACACGCCCTACCACATGCCCTTGTGGTGGGAGCCTCGCTACCGATAATATTATTTTATTTTTAGTTTTTCTTCCAGTTTCGTTTGGATGACGTACATATTTTGATGACGTACATGTACATGTTGACGCCCGTCTCTCGCGTACACCTGTATGTCACATGTGTATGTCATCGCAACAGGACCGGGTTAAGCGGATCTCCCAAGCCACACGTACTTCTCCGACACCGGAGGGCGCGGCCTCTCGTTCAGCTTGTTGAGCCTCTCCAGCGGTCCCAGAGGTCTCGGTGGGAGCTTGCCAGTGTCCGTGGTGGAGGACGGCCCCGTGCCGGACCCCTGCACGAACAGAAAGCCAACAATTTGTCTGTAACCCGTGACCCCCCACGCGAAATGGGACGGGTTACCTTGAAGTCACAACGTTGCTGCTGCCCATCTTCCCCAAACACAGGGGTGGCTGGGAGGGCGATTCATGGCTCGGAATGAAGCTGACACAAAATGGGACATTGGTCATGATGACATGACATGGTTAATCAGCTCCACATTGAGATATGAACCAGGCGTTCTTTTTGTGTGGCGTCTCAAAAAAATTACTCATTTTTTGTCATCATGACATAATTCCGCTAAAACAAGTATGGGAAATAAACAGAGGTCGGGAACAAAGAGCCAAGGTATGTGTGCAACTGACAGCTGGAATATAGGAGTCAGCTGACCCGACTGCTCCTTGCGTACTTCACATTAATTGCTGTAGAACGTACGGTATATACGTGTGACAGCATGCTAATGGGTCTGTAATTCCTCAAATAAGTTGTGTATCCTTTTTTTCAAAGAAAAATAATTCAGGATTCAACCCATGATGAGGTATTTAATTTAAGTTGTAAACATCTCGTAAACAGGTCCACTAATTTTGTTTAAACAACTGGGCCCCACTACGCTATTGATGTCCACAATTATTGCATCGAGTCTGAAAGCTTTTTCTGCTTAACACTGCAAAGGACGGAGATTACTTCCTTCTTCAGGTGTGATATCTGGAATCTACTCTTCCTCTTCCTGCAGGACACACCACGAGAAGAGACGATGGCCGACCGACGAAACAGAGGATGGGACGGCAGCCAAAAGAGAGAAGCACCCAGGATTGAAAACCGCTGCTGACACGAAGTGATGAGATTGGCTCGTGTGCAGGAACCGTGAAGGATTGCATCGGGATGGACATTCTTTCATCCAGTATTGAATATGTCAGTGATGGTGGTGGTGGTGAACTACCACCACCATGCCTACTGGACGTCTGTGAAAAAGAGCTTAAAAGTTCATCGGATTTCTACAGGATAAACATTCTGTTTTTAACTAGAAATTCCGCACAAATGCACGTAACGCATATACTCTCAGTGGAACTGTCTTGTCTTGCTGTCGCGTGCTCCACTGACATTCCGGCTTTACAGAATTCCTTAACATTTGAATGCTAAATTTTGTACGGACAATGAGTGCATGGCACATGAAAGAAAGGCCTTGCACGGGGGATGATGTTGCCTCTATCCCGTGTACAATAAATTTCAGATGAACCCCACAGTCTACTGTTTTCGACTGCCAGTTAAATAACAGAACACTCAATACACATCTGCCAGTTATTTTGGTAATATGTAATGTATATATATGTTTATACAGAAATATAGAAACGCATCAGGATATATTATCCCTTTGCGGTCCTCTCAATGTGCTTGTATTTTGCGAAATTGGCATGACCGTAGGTGTATGTATAACTTTAGAAAAACTTCTACGCTGTTTATTTTGCTGTTTTTATGGCCAAGTCCCACAGGAAAAAAAATGCATCTAAGTTTTATGCATTCTATATTTGGTGCCTGGAGTTTAGACCAAACATACGATGGATTAAATGAAGGAAAAAAATGTTTATATAAATATACGCATTTGTTATTTTTATTGCTATTTTTTAAATACGTTAATTTGTAAAATGTTCTTCTCCGGCTTAACGTTAATATTTTTGGCTATTTATTATTAATTTATTTCTCTCGTTTAACAAGAGTGTGCGGGTTCATGCAAGATGGCTTGGTGAGCGCCGCTGGCAAAACTCCAAAGCAAATCATTCTTGGTTTGGTTGCGTGATTTGTGTGTTTAAACAATGTGCTTCTATCAGCTGTGCTAACAAAACAACAACCGAGGCTCAAAACACTCACACCGTACCTTGAGCCACACCACCAGTGCTTCCAGTACCCAGGCCAATGTTGAGGGCATCAGAGAAACGCATTCAGAATTTGCCCCGGCAGTGTTGGATTCGTCAACACATTCGCGGACGACCTCGGTTTAATTCCCGGCCAAGGCTAACATCAGTGGCGAGTGTTATTTTACCCGGTCCAGGGTGGTCACCTTATGTCTACCAACCCACACTCACCAGTATGGTCGAGTGAAGTTAATCGACCCCCCAGGGCTTCATCCAGAAGTGGACTGGCAAAGGGCCAAATATTAAATCTTGACTTAAAGCTTTCGTGACTGCAGGAATTCAAACTTATTGGGTCTTTCGGTAAAGTCACGTAGATAGAAAAATAAGAAAATAATAAAACAAAAATCACAAACATTTGTTCATGAAGTCATCCAGATATATAAACAGACACAATTTCAACCGAGAAGATGGGTACAAACGGAGCAATCATTGGAAGGACGTTATTAACCAGGTAAAGTCTTAACTGGCTGTGATGCTTCCATCCTACTTGCCTATGTTATCAGTTATTTCCAACTCTCTGAGTTACATTACCTTGTTAAATGTCTTTACATTAACAGGCTAAATGTCCCACTAACAAAGCTGCTGCTCCCTTTTCATCGATGTGGCGGTGACGCTCGTTGCTTAATAGGCTGAATGTCTCTCTCATTAACACAGCCGCTGCTGCGGGAGCCGTCTCACGTTGACATCTCTAATCTCGAGCAATACAATGGCTTCTTCAGCACCGTAACCGTAGGGTTACATTAACACATTGACATGCTAATCTCTACAATACAATGGCTTCTTCAGCACCGTAACCGTAGGGTTACATTAACACATTGACATGCTAATCTCTACAATACAATGGCTTCTTCAGCACCGTCACCGTGGGGTTACATTAACACATTGACATGCTAATCTCTAATCTCGAGCAATACAATGGCTTCTTCAGCACCGTCACTGTGGGGTTACATTAACACATTGACATGCTAATCTCGAGCAATACAATGGCCGAGGTATACCTAGCTCTGCAATCTTACACTTACTTGCAAATTCCATCTCTAGCCCCGCCCAATTACCCTTGGGTTGTACCCATCTCAGACCTATATAACCTTTGGCTGCAGTAGCTCTCTCGCTATATTTCTTCCAGCCTCAGCAGTCTGCCTGCTGTATTTTTTTCACCTGCAGACAATTGCTTGCGTTGCGATCGAAACAGCGTGATTTTTTATTATTTAATGACTTCACCAAAACACCCAAAAAGGCCAAATATTAATTACGTATAAATTGTTTATGTTTACATTGACACGAATGCACCCAGCACGCACGAAAGTGGTACAGAAAAGAGAGTCAATTTGGATTTTTTTTTGTAAATTGTGGGTACCCCATCTAATAAAATCCATCTTGCTAGCACGGAAAAGCACGCGTTTACAACAGCTCCTCATGCCTCGTTTCAAGAGGACTTGTATAAATATTCAGATTTTCATCCCCGATGCCCTGCCAACGACTGAATATTTTGTGCGGCCAATGATGGAGTCTTGCACACCCCTGGCAGCCACTGGGTGCAGGTTCTGGCAGAGGAGAGAGTTCATCTTGATTCGCATGACACGGCTGCCAAAGCTGCCCTTTGCCTGCATTTTGCTTCGAGGACTGCATGTGAAGGAACGCGATTTAGCGGCTCAATGGTCAGCACGCTCACCTCGAGGTTCATGGCTTGTCAGGTCGAATGCAACGACTAGCTGAAGGAAACCACCTCTTCGCATGTGTCTGGCCCCTTGGTAAAAGAGCAGGCTAAATCCTTTGGGAGCAAGGAGGGCCCCCTAACAACTGACAGGAGTATTGTTTTCGAGTCAAATTGCCTCCCTGAAATGGAACAGTGGTCATCTCCATTGGTGGCCCTGAGGTCAAGTGGTAGAAATCCCACATTGCTATGGTAGGTGGCCAGCCCTACTATGGGACAACCACTGTTAACTTCTGACAAAGTAGTACTTATGTTATCCATCCTAGAGGGATGATGGGCTGAGTCAACCTCTGATCGCTCGTGAGTGGAGAGCTACAACCGCCCGGTCAGCTTCTTTGCGCTCACGATGATGGCGAGGATAGTGGAGTATTTTTGTCTAGAGGTACAAAATAATAATAATAATAAGCATTCTGCGCAGGCTATTCCTGTTGCTATTTGTGTGCAAGTTGAGTGGTGTCCATGCCCATACCGTGGCTGCGCCATTCACCCCATCCTGCATCGGTTGCTGTTTGCCTGCAGAACCCTCCTTGATCTCCTCAAACTTCTGGGAAAACTGGAAAACAGGTTGTAGGCAAAACATGATAGGCTCGCCAGCCAATTATACAGGAACATCACCACGGTCATTACACATTGCACAAACATTTCAGTAGACATGTCAGAGCAGCTGTAAATTTCAGAATAGCCAAGTTTGCATGCATTTGCAGAATTAAAACTTTGCTTATGACTACTGCTATAATTCTTTCTACAGCCAGAGCTTGGTGAATATTTAATGGCATCAGCCAGATGTTCTTTTTGAAGTAACTAAGTCTGATGCGAACTTGCATAGCCATCTATAGAAGGTTGCTCTTTAGAAAATGCAGTCTCCTGGAATATGTTCTGGATCGTTCACATGCCTTTTCTGCTCTTCCCCCCTCTCACCTCATCGCGCGGTCTTTCGTATCGAAACTGGCACAACTGCATGATATTTCAGCCTGACGAAAAGACGAAGACTACGATCGATCCCCTTACTGTAGACGACACAACTCGTTTGTCCGTGTGGAGTTTCGTACATATTTCCGCTTTAGTGCCGCCGTCAGTGAACTAGAAATAACAACACGCACAGATGTGCTTCGCCAACAGCAGGAAGGCACGACTCCCATCATGCCCTGCCTGCATGTCAGGTGACCACCACGGTGCTTGTACAATGCCCCTCAGCCTCTCAGCCTTGTCTAGACCACCAACTCAAAAGAGATCTGAAATTGTGGCCACATTATTGTTAAGTACAGCAACTAAAAAATATATATAGTTAATTGAAAGTGCACGCATTGTCCTGATTTCATGGGGTTTGTTCATTATTTACGGGGTGCCATGGATTTGATTTGTCCTGCACCAACCTCCATGAGCAGCTTCTCGGAGTTGAAGCCCAGCCCGTACACCGTGTTGGCCTTGCCGTCAGCCCACTGGCCAAACTTCTGCGATGTCTTGGTGAACTTCATGTTTGGCAAGATAGTGCTGTTTATGATGACCTGCCAGGCATGTAAACACCCTCGTTTAAACAGCAGTTTATATCTTAATTGCCCTCCACCTTGGTGAAGAACTCAATGCACACAATTCGTGGCATCTGGTTTAAAAAAAGAAAATAACTTTTCATACCAAAAATAAATAAATAAAGCCGCCCAGACACAGTGTCACAAATGTATTTGTTCACTATTTTTCTTTCAAATTAAAAAAATATATTTTCCACACAAGGCAGAAAATATAATATGTGTAACGTACACCCCAACAATCTAGCGTTGTTTTAGCCTTTATTCAAAATACTGAGGCACAAGTAGGTATACCAAGTAAACACAGATTTGGAGTGTACAGGAATAACACGAAGAATAACTTGCACCAGCAGCGCGAACCATGCTGGGGCAATTTTTTTTCTGATCCGGCGTACGGCCTGATGCTGCACGCGTTACCGAACGGGGGGGTGGGGGAAACGCAGGAGTTCAAAACTCACACGCATAGCCCCGATCTACACCTGAAGTATCCAAGTAACATTTAAGGCAGCATGTGCTTTGAATTGCAATGTATGAATGAATAACAGCATTGTCTTTGTGGCCAGGTGTGTTTTTTTGTCATCATCAAGGAAGAAAAACCACGCATATGCATGGTTGCTGTTACCCACGAGTACTGTTTGTGCTGGGAAGTATGTTATTTGAGATAAAAGTTATTGTTTGAAGCCGCATAAGGAGATAATGTCACGCGGCGTGCGACATCGCGAGATGGCGTCACAGGTAATGACATCATCACGACATGCCATTACAACACAATCACATCGTCATCACGATCGACAAGGCTTATCTTTTTTAGTGCTGGTATCCCCATCTTTTTATCACTTTGGACGGTGTTCTATAGGGTAAGTGTGGCTAATAGTAAAATAACTTTAGACTGCAATTGTGGAATATTGACGTTGTCTGCAGGCTGAGTCGCCCTGAAAGATAGCTTCTTAGCTCAATGGGCTTCACTTATGATTCTGATACTGGCCCATATCCATACCTGTCAACTCCTCATCAGTGCCTACCTTATTACAGACCAATTCAGACCTTATTGGTCACCCCGTGCCCTTATAAATCTCAACGTTTATCCTACAAAGTACCATCACAAGTGAGAAACACAAACAAATATAAAAAAATGTTGGCCATATTGAAACGGATGTACGCTGTATAGACCTGAAAACTCAATTTCCCTTTACAAGAATACAGGTAAACCGTATGGGTTGAGAGGTATGCATCATTATACTGGTAGGAACGAAGTTGTAAACTGAGTGTACCAGCCTGCAATAGATTAATGTGTCCGTCCGTCCGTCCCCTTTCAATACTTTAACAAAGTGAAATCTCGTGCTGTTGGGTGTAAAATCAGCAATAGACAGCGCAGAGACTTGATATGTCTTATTCCACCCAACATTTGGAAGTAACAATGTCATAAAATTGCGCAAAATTCCAATGTTCCTACCAGCCCACCCTGCAGGGACCTGTTGATATCATAACGCCCTGTAACAGACAGACAAAGAGGACAGATTTACGCCTTCAGCCTTAGTTAAATTTGGCCAAGGAACTCAAGCAGCACACTTCTGAAAAAGTTTTGATACTAATTTGAGGCTTAAACTGGGATAGAACGCAACTATTGTTAACGCTTACCGAAGAGTACTCACGAGTAAGAGTCCAGCGAAGATTGGGAAGTTATTTGTGCATGGTTTCTGTATCTCCTTTGCACAAATGGACAGCAGAATTCCATTGGAAAGAATGTAATTTTTTCGGCTTTTATTTTTACTCGAATTCCTTCAATCAACACGCGCCCACATCTGCGATGTCCGTATTGGAAGTGCGGTCAAAGACAACGGCACAAGCACTGAAACGCACACGAAGGGGCGTTGAAAGAAGCGCATTTCAACTCAAATAAACACGAAGCGAAGCGGGGCATCTGATGATCGTGAGAGAGCCACCAGAATATTAATAATAATAATGCTCTCATTGTATATAGTGGCATTCATGCTAACAGCATCCCGTAACTGCACATTCATTATATTTAAGGACCAAATCCCATATACAGCCACTCCCCAAGTAAATGAAAACCCTACTACCAAGCGAAATCTAAAATGAATAAACTAAATTAAGAAATGGCACCAAAACAGAAAGCACAAACAACAACAAAAAGTTATCACAACAAATAAATTAGTCCATGAGGTCGCATCCCAGACCCCAACTTCCCAAGTTCCCAACTTCCGAACCAAGTCAGGAAACCTTCACAGGAGCAGCAGTGGTGGAGAACCAAAACAAAGTTGTGACTAATTTTACATCAATCTCGCCCAATGTCCAAAAAGCGATGACCTAATTTTTTCAGTGGATGCCTGGATGACGGATATCGCGCTCAACGCCGTGTCAAGGAAAGCATGGGAACCTGAAGAAGACGCAACGCATCGCTGCCGGAAAAGACCACAGCACGACAGAACATTAACGGAGGGACGGCAGCTGACGCACACCATACACGCCGGGCGAAGTGAGGCCCCATGGGAGAGGGGTCCGTGCTGAAAGGTGAGAAGACGGCCCAAAAGTACAGCCGCTATGCAAAAGATAAACACGGAGGGGATTTTCCGCTCGGTTGTGGATTTGTGCTGGACGATGCATGGCAAAGTACTTTTCCTAGCCCAAAGAAAAATACGGATCAAAGCACTGGCTCTTAATGTACAAAAGTAACAGCAGCATGTTGCATTAAAGGATAGCGAATGCTGTGTTACCTTTACACCCATACCTCATAATAATAACATAAAAAGCTATTTACAGGCTTTTGTCAATCTACTACTGAATGAAGGCATCGGTCCCACACCATGTCGACATAGTTATGGGGCTTGTTTTGCCACACTTCACCATGCTGATAAGCGTCGGGTAGGTGAAGAAAGGACCCAGGAGTGGATCAGGTATCATTACGAACTGCTCATGCTGGCCGTGGCTATGAATTAAACTCAGCTCACCAAGTTTATAGCTAAGCGAGCTAACCACTGCACCACTGCTCTCCCACGTTTTATTTTAGTATATATATACTGGTAGGAACCTCCTGGTTACACCAGCCAACAGGGGATTATTGCGTCCATCCGTCGTGCATCCAAAAAATGGGAGGGGTGGGGCTGGGTGGAGAGGGAAGGGTGGAGAGGGGCTGGGTGGGGAGGGGCTGGGTGGGGAGGGTGGGGAGGGGCTGGGTGGAGAGGGTGGGGCTGGGTGGGGGGTGGGAGGGGTGGGGCTGGTCACCCCGTGGTGCCCTTATAAAACTCAACGTTTAACCTACTCACGCCGGCTTGTGCCCGCCCTCACAGTCGGGCATATTTGCGGAATCCACCACGTGGTGCCGCCGTTGACCCTGGCCATTGACCGAGCAACCCAACGTTCCTACCAGCTCCCTCCGCAGGATTGTGTTTCAAATGTATACAATAAACAACAGATTTGCCCTCCATATGGCAGTACAACTCAACTCATTATTGCAAGATCACAAGTTCAAATTCCGGAGGGGGACTGACTCAGATTATTATCCTTACTGGCTCAATTAAATGAGTTGAACACTTGGAGAAATGTTACTAATTTCATTGACGCCACAAAGTATCACCAATGTCATGAAAATCTCTCATCGTTTTATTCTCTGCGGAGCGAAATATGGCGACAAATGTTTTCACCTTTATACACAGACCACCCCTGCCCCCCCCCCCCCCCCATTTCATGGCTCAACATCCCCATTGTCGATAAGGCACGTGTCAGCTGCCATTCCTAAGTTAATCACGTGTTGCTCTTTAGCCTTTTCCCATGACAGATGCTAGTCCGTTCTCATACGAGAGACTGGCATCTGCAACCACTGGCTCAGGAACACCCACGGATATTATTATCACTTCTCGCTTGAGCAAGCAGACACTCATTGCTCTATTGTGAATGACGAGATACAATCATGTAAACTGTGAGATTATGCTTAAAATAACACAATTAACTGCTCGTGGTGTTAACCGGCACGAGCCTTTGACTGTGGAATTATCAGCAGCCGAACAAATTATTAGGCCGCTGGAGCCCTCCCACGCGTGTGTCCGCGCGTGTGTGCGTACGTGCGTGTGTGCGTACGTGCCTACGTGCGTGCGTGCAAACCGTGCACCTTGGTGCCATCGATGCTGATGATGCGGTGGATGTTGCGCACGGCATCGTGGTAGAAGGAGACCCTGACCACCTGCTGGCTCACGGGCAGCCAGGAGCGCTGCGTCGTTGGGTCGATCTGGAACACCTGCGCCTCGGACGAGAATACCGGCTGCTCCCTGAAACACAGCGCACACACGACGGGCCAGCTTTGGTGCGTGGCCAGTGCCAAAGTGTCTCCTGGGCCCAGACGAGAGCTGTGACTACACCTATAAATAATCAGGTAACTTCATGTTACATCCATCGGCTTTTTTGTCTTTTTGGACTCATGTCATCTGGCTGGAGTTATTTAAGCAGGCAATCATACTCTGGACCAGTTTCGAACTTCTGGGTCTCGTGAGCAGAGTCAGGATTTTGATTTCAAGCTTTCGTGACTGCAGTGATTCATATTCTTGGTTCTTTCGGTAAAGTCACGTTGAAGGGAAACAATAAAAAATTAATATATATAAAAAACAATATATATTTTATTATTTTATTGTTTCCCTTCAACGTAACTTTACCGAAAGAACCAAGAATAAGAGTCAGGATTGTTAAGCAATTGCTGCTGGGTAACTAGATGTCACTAGCAACAGCACTCTAACTAAATGGCGGGGCACCTGCTCAACGCAAAAAGCAATATTCAACACAAACTGACTATGCGTTGTCGTGGAGCATTATGGGTAAAAAGATATGATGATAGAACTCTGTTCTGGGCCTCCACATAATAATAAAATAAATTGACAAAAATAGACAAAATTTGTATATTTGATTCATCTGTAGATGCACAGTATGGGGTTCTCCTTATATATTTTTTGACCCATAATGTTTTTTTTATATATGTACTTGTGGATTATCTCATCGGTGGCTCTGAGGTGGCAGGTAGCTCCGAAAATCAGATAACTTCACAGTAAAAAAAGAAGTCATCATCATACAACCATAAATATGGGGTGTGATTGTGGGAAAATATATATGTAATCAATCAAGGGTTTACACAGACAGCACATTAAATTTAAGGCAACATCGCAGCGTGGATGAAATGGTCAGTTCACCGGGGAACGCCAGACATCACGGTGTAAAGCTGTCCGCCGTATCGCGAGGTTCTGCTGCGTCTAATGTTCAAGTTGCAAGCTTCCTCCCCGTGAAGACGATTCACAGGTGAGCAATACCACAGTACAGGCTTTCATGATTGTGCTGTATATCTCTCTGCATTCTATGAGCATTTTCTCACCCATTAAGAAAGGTTGATAAACGATTACAATTTGAATGAGACGCATTATTGGTCGATATGCTACTCCCATGTAAAAAAAAAAACCTCTTCAGCATTACACTCATGATAATGTACGTCCAAAAACCGTTGAGCTGTCCATTTAAACATTCCCAACTGCGGGAGCCAGTTTCTCCGTAGAACAACCACTATAGACTTCCCACAAAGTGCCACGTATCTTAAAACAACCCTGGAGGGACGATCGCCTGAGTTGACCCCTAAACTGAGATTCTGTACCGGAGACCTTCAAATTGTGAGCCAAGCGCTTTCACCACTTCACCGCAGCCCAACCCAAGCGGATATTCACAACCCAGCCAAATATTTACCGTAAAAAAAAATGCAAGTGCCCCGGCTAATACTGCCAGTACAGTGGCACTGCCTTTCCATTTGTAACATTAAGTCAGTGGTCGGGGACTCCATATTTCTATAGCAGAGGTCAGTTTACCCATAATAAGACCACGACTGACGTCCCACAAGGTGGTGCAGTCTCAGCAGGTAGTGCTCATTTGACTGATCCAAGATGAGCGTTGATGGTGTTGAGGTGGCCTTGTCTGGGATTTGAACTTTGCAATTATGACGGAAAGCCTTGCTGCTCAACCAAATGTGCTACCGCCTTTCTACGACGATGACACCTGCAGGCGTGTGGTGTAAGAAGCCTCTAGGAAAATCGGTGTTTCTCCAGTCTAAATAATGTCACTCAGATCCTGTTAGTGTTGATAAATTATGTTGAGCTGTGTATGTAAATGTATAAATTGGAACTCTCGTTGAGATGGCATACCTTCTCGTAGAGACCTAGTAATGCCAAACTCCCAGCGACTCAATTATATGTTACAACTGACGGTCGTGTTTAGGTTCAAGATTCAATCATTTTACGTCCCATTTTCACCGTCACATTTGAGTTGTTTTAATTTTATTTTCTGCAGTTCTGTTCAAGAATACAGCAATTTCCGTACCATACTCTTTGGTTATATTCGGTAAAGTCACGTAGGTAAAAAAATAAAACAACAAAGATCACGACGTTTCGGCCACAATACAAGCGGCCTTCATCAGGTGAAGGGATCAGGCTGTCTCGAGGACAGCGCTGGAGTGAAACACAGCCACGCTCAGACCGCGGACCTTTAAGCTGTGTGTGAGGAAACAAGGTGCCTTGACAAAGGAATTAGCATAAAAAATACCATTTGATTGGCCGACTTAGCATAGAGGTGGTGTACATGCGGGTGCACATGCCGGTTGGCGGTGGGGGGGGGAGTTTACATATTGATGGTGTGAAAAGGGAATTTTTAAGAGCTGCGAAAGTTTGGGGTACCACTACTTGAAAAATATACCCGCATGTACACCACCTCTATGCTAAGTCGGCCAATCAAATGCTAATTTTTATGCTAATTCCTTTGTCAAGGCACCTTGTTTCCTCGCACACAGCTTAAAGGTCGTGGTCTGAGCGTGGCTGTGTTTCACTCCAGCGCTGTCCTCGAGACAGCCTGATCCCTTAACCTAATGAAGGCCGCTTGTGTGGTGGCCGAAACGTCGTGATTTTTGTTGTTTTTTGTTGTTTTATTTTTTACCTACGTGACTGTACCGAATAGAATCAAAGAGTATGGATCCTTGCAGTCACGAAAGCTTTAAATCTAGAATTTCCGTACCATTTACATCCAACTGGCATAATTCAATGGACGGTCGATTCTCACACCCAAATCTACGAACGCATCGTAAGCTTACGAATCGATATTAAATTGATTAACCAATGCACCATGGCCATGCCCAACACCTACATTTCATGTAAAGCAAAAGTTATTTTGGCGATATTTCTTCGGCAGTGTTGCAGAAGCACGAATCATAAAAAAAAACCTCAAAACGTTCCGTCAATAACGCTGTGGCCTTCAAAAGGAAACATCTATAAAAGGTGACATTTCGGGCAATTGAACCTTATGGCGGGGACCCTGGGGTCCCATAAGCCCCCGGCTCTCGCATAAACTTTGTTGCGACGTCAATTTACGTCTGTTGATGGCGAACGATACGGCAGTCTATTCCTCTCGACGAGCTCTACACGATGCGTTAATCAAAGTTTCAAAGATGTGTTTACGACTACGGCAATTTTAGTCAACGGCGGGTGCTTGGTGAAGAACGAGAGAGGATTGATTTCTGGTGGGTCGCGGCGTTTGTGCGCGCGGTGGGACGGAGTCGCCAAAAGTAAATTAATTAATTACGATTTTTACTTCTGTTTATTTGGCACCCCGGGGTCCCGCCATAAGGTTAAATTGCCCTTCTACGTAAATAGAGCAGCCAGGCAGACAGAGTGGATAATAATAATAAGACGAGTTGGAGACTGCACTGTCCACCATGGGGCCTGCCGACAGTGATATTTAAAATATATTTCCTGATGAATCGCTTAAAATTGGAAGATGAATATTAACCTATAATCGGAAATTGAGTAACAGACAACCCCGTTGTTTATCGTTTAACTCTTATTGTTTGTAATTTTTAAAAAAACTGTAAAACTCCATGAATGCATTCCTATCAAAAATAAACCCACAAAATGTTGCTGGCAACGTCATGTAGATAGTCGAGCATGCTAAACTGGTGTGATGGTCGTGCACATGTGTGACTCGTGAGACAATGTACGACGGGTCTGTTTACGCGAGAGGTTGGGAAAAACTTCTGAGAATTCGATACTAAATTAGGTCATACCGAACTAATGGGTTTGCTTATTCTGAAGCCCCCTGTGTACTAATTATAAGATAATGGCGCTGACGTTAACAGATACTGTAAACACTGCATAATACGTTTGATCCTTCGCCTATTTCCAGGGTCCCATTTGCTAAATTTTGTTTTGCAAATATTTACCCAGGCATGATGGCACGTGCCTGCAACGCAGCGTTTTGTGGAGTTAAGGGTTGGTGGATCACATAGCAACCATCGTGATAATCATAATACGACGACATTTATTTACCCAGGAAAGCCTAACTTCGTCTCTCAAGACTATTTCAGGAGGTTCCTGAGGCAATGGGATTCTTGCTCGAGTCCATTAGTGGGCAGCATGTGGGAAGAGACTGGATTAACCCTGCGAAAACTCGCACAAACGATGGGGTAACGCTCAATATTCCGCACACTTAAGATAGAAAATCAAATTGTTGTGCTGTCATCTCCTGGCTGTCCCCTCATCCCAAGCCGACAACACCTGGTATTCCCAGGCAGTGACACATCCAAAAAGAAACCAGGTTCAATACTCCGAGCTTATGAGATGTGATGAGATCGGATATTTGGGAGTGGGTGACTTGTAAACAGACATCCATTGCCAATCTCTCTCTGTGTTGGAGGTTCTGAATGGTATCCCTCGTATACATTCGGTTCCTACATGTCGTGTGATTCCCTCCAGCAGGTGAAAATATACCAATCCTAAGACTCTCCAAGAAAAAAATCATTTTAGGCTTTTCTAGCTAAAGCAATGTAATAAAGCACTGTGTTAATAAATCACTAGGTACATAAAGGACAACACACACACAGAGACTCGACTGCACTGCACATACGGGCACAGCACAGTGCAGTGGTAATGTTACTGCAACATTCAAATGTAATAGAATACAAACACGCGACTCCAGAGCTTCACGTCAATCAGTTGTATCTAAAATTGAAATCTGCCATGGACGTCGTAACTCTGGCTCATTTGTTCTCACTCACACGAGAGTCATCTTGACCAAACAACCCTCGTGTGACGTTTATTCTGATCCATCATTCATGTTTTCCGCGCACTGCAGCTGAACTCACGACCTGATCAACTAAAATGTTGAGAGCTCAAATCTTCTCCCCTTCCCAGAGTCCAGGAGCACTGAGCTCGGAATTCAGTCCGCAGAATTTCTGTGGCCCCCACTCCCCCTCCCCTACTACTGTTCCGTGCCCTTCACCAGGTTCTTGTCAAATTAAAAAAAAAAATTAAACTATTTTTAAAAAGTTGGAATCGCGATTTGATCGCTTGGTTATCGGTTAAACGGCGGATTATGATTTTTTTTTGCCGAGCAAAAAACGCAGCATGGGAAAAACAAGTTCTTGATTAATGGACGTGCGGGGTGGGCAAATGTGACCAGATGATATGAAATTTCGCACTGTCTTGCGGCGATAACTGTGCTTGTTACGTGCGCAGAAGCGTGTCACCCTGACAGACAGCGATGTGACACATCTGCAAACGGCCCTCTCCCGCACTTCCTCTTCAAGGAGACAGCATTTCAACAATGTGTCAAATGAGCCATCTGTGAGTCGCATATATCTTTCCTTCCATGCGAAGGAACGATTCACTTCTTTCAACAAGCTCTGATTAAGATACAGTGCGATACCGTTGTATTCATATATCATCTTAATATAGCCGCACCTCAAGATGCTGGACATAACAGTGGGACATGGGAATTCTGGGTAAAGAAAGGACGCTTCTGTATTTATTGTACATTGAGAGAGAGGCAGTCGGTCACAGTCAGGGAAAGTAAGACCTTGAGCCCGTGCTTGAACATTGGCAGGAAGTCATCAGCATGGATGTCTGTGGGAAGGGAGTTCCATATTATTAGCACGGCAAAGGAAAAAGAGCAACTTGCCACCGACTCAAGGATGACTGGGGTCTTTGACATAAAGCCTTGGTTGCTGGTGCAAAGAATGAGTGGCAGGGGGTAGAGTGAGATAAGAAGGGTCAAAGCAGGCAGGGGAGAGTCAATGGAGGACCTTGAGGATATTCAGCACGATTTCGATATTTATCCATGACTGAATTGGGAGCCGGCATAGGGATCGGAGTGTCGGGGTAATGCGGCGTTGTTTTACAGGGAGAAATGCGTCGACTGGGTCGAGAGACGGCACTCACTATGAAGAAACGTGGGTGCCCTCTGCCAGTGTGCAGCTGCAGTGTTTATGGAGGGGAACAAACAAAGTGAAGCGGTAGCGATGCTATCAAGCAGCAAATTGGGAGCATTAAGAGACACATGCTACACGGGCACCAACACAGAGAAGTAATGGAACCATGTTAAGTAAAAAATAAGTCGGCCCTTTGTCAATCTGCTGCTGGATGAAGGCCTCCACGTGCCGTGTCAGTCACACGGGTTGTCTTACAGTGGAAGTTTGTCAACATGTTCATTCATGAGTAGCACGGTTGGCTACGTACGGTGCGTACGAAGCTTATACGTGCACACATACATTCCTCAACATTCATAACTGAGAACATAACCCCCCCCCCCCTTTTTTAAAGCTGCCAATAATGTCACGACGGCTACAGCCCTGTTAGCCAGACAGCCACAGCAGTCTGCAGTGTGTGCCCGACACCTGCACCCATTAATCATCGCGGGTGCGTTGTTGTTTTACGTCGCATCGTCGGTGCGATGCACCCACGCGTCTCCTTTTAAACAGGCAGCGCTGTTACGATCCCATCCCAGGCTGCCGGTTAGGCGTTGCCTGTGTAATCCATCCGTTCTTTAAAGGTGGGGGGGGGGGGGGGTTGGTGATCGTGCGAAGATCATGTGCAATCTGGCTGGGCTGTCAAGTGGTGGGGGCAGGCTAAAGGCGGTGCAGGAAGCAGGTATCCTGAGCTGTCTGGACAGATTCCAGTGGGGGGGGGTTTTCCCCCCATTGTGCGCATATGGGATTTTTTTTCATCTCTCCAGACACTCTGGTTTCCTCCTATAAGCAGAGACTTTCTTTGAAAGCAGGATTGGCCAAACACATCAAGCACAGGACCTTGCTCTTAACAGAAAGAACTTAGAGCGACTGTGCGCCTTCCTCGGTTAAATAAATAACCACTGGTATATCATTTTAACAAATTTAGATTGACCCCGTAAAGCTACCCACAAATGCGGGTGATGAGCGCATTACGCTGCCACGCACAAACCAGGATATGGCTAATGAGCGCTTTTCCTGCTGATAATTAAGGTAAACAAAAATGCACTCACAATGAGCAAACATTGACTGATAGACTACTGAAAACACGCAAGCATAATTAGAATTTTTTTAAATCTTCCAACGTGATCATTTAACGTACCACACGCACCACAATTCTTCATACGCATCCCTTGCAAATCAGACGACGTACCGCGTTCAACAATTCACGAGATGTCCCACAAACGCAACGGCACGACAGCGCCCGACCGCTCGAACGCGCGACGCTTGCGACAAAAACACCACGAGCGTCGTGACCGCTGCTGCCCCGCAAAGACGCACGCTGCGCTTTCGACACACGTACGAGCCGAATGGCGCAGCGTTGCGTTCGCCTCGACGTGAATACCCCACCCCGTGCAACGAACGTCCCTGATTACATGCACAAACCCAGCGCACGTCGACCGGAACGAGCGTTCGCCTGCGCCTGTCGTGGGCGTCAACATTCGCGCCGCATGCACCACGCAGAATACGACAGTCGAAACGAGCAAAATGGTCAATATTACCTCGCCGTACCTTGCGAATACATTGCTCGCAGAGAGGCGACGGAGTGAGTGCACACGCTGGCTGTGGGACTACGACGCAGCCCTTTGTCGAAACACCCGCTGAGACCTAACGGGACGCGTCCACCCAAAAAAAAAAAACACCGAATCAATGGGCATGGGATGGTGAAGAAGAAAAAAATAATATCGACTCACCATAACATGATGCATCCGTTCATAGCCAACCAAATAGCACTCTCTCCTCAACTCTGGCAATGCTGGCACGACCAATAAGAGTGTGCCGTCAAGCGGCATATATTCCCGGAGGAAGTCTCCAGCCGTCCAAGCCCAGATGACATCTCCACTTGTCCCCAGCGGCGGCTAAATTTAGGCGGTGACTGTCGATGCAGCCATGCGTCTGTGCGCGCCACGCCACGCATAGCTGCTGCATGACAGCCCACTCGCCATCTCCCCCCCCCCTCCACCCCCCGGATCACGGTGGGATCACTGTACGTGAACGCGCCGCGCGCTCTGGCCTCTCCGTCTTTTATTTATTTTGTTGCCACCGGAACGCGCGCGTGGCCGAGCGTCGCCGCGAGGGTTTGCAAATGTCAGCATCGAAGTGAGCGTTTCTCGCTCTCGGGATGTTTGAGAGCAGCGCGAGCGGGCACTGGGCGCAACATGAATGCAATGTTGACAAAAGCGCCTTAATGCAGCTGCTCCTCCGAGAATAAAAAGCGACATTGACAGCGAGAGGTCATCCCCGCACGCGGCGTCCCTCTGCTGGGGGCGTGCGACGCGAGCATCCATGGGTGACGGTGCTCGTGTGCCTGGTCGGTTCCCTGCCACGTGAATGAGGAATTTCCACCGGTCGCTTTAGAACTGCCAGTGGGGAAGAGCACCGGCCAGGCCAATGCTCATTTGAGCATGGGGGAGACTTGGCGGATATTTCAAAAGAATGTCAAAAATAAAGTATCGGCAACAAAGGTTCTGCACTATCATTTTGTTTTATAATTTTATTATTTTATTGTTGCCCTTCTACGTGGTGACTTTACCGAAAGAACCAAGAATATGAATCCCTGCAGTCACGAAAGCTTTAAATCAAAATTTATCATTTTGTCCTTGGTAGATGACCCAAAGGTGAGAGAGGGCAAGAATCTCTCACGCTGACAATGCCCACTTGCGACAGAATGTTCCACTGTAAAATTAATTAACTGACCACCTGTCAAACCTTAGAATCTGTTATATAAAAAAAACATCGTCATGCCCAGTTATAGAGCATGACTCCAGTAATAACAGATGTGACATGCTGATCTCCAATTGATTTTATGAATCCCAAACACCAGCTGTAGCCAATGGAGACCGATGAAGAGTGGCTCTTTGCCATCACACGCACAATGCCCTGATAGTTATGCACTCCTGCCGTTATGAAATTTTGGACAAACAATTTACCATAATGTGGGGGATGCTGCCACGGTGTAACGGTTAGCACACTGGACTTGCAATGCAGAGGTCGCTTCTTTGACCTCCTGGTGTGGCAGTTGAAACGCTGGGCATACTCCTTTTGTCCCAACCACATTTATCCACCCAGAAGTATCAATGGGCACAAGACAATTCGTCAATTGGCAGATAGCATGCGGTGGGGTAAAGTGAGGGTGACTCCCACCTCTTCTTCGACATCTGGCCAGGGAGGAAGAGTAGACCAATTACCCTCTAGAAATCCCTCAAAGGGAGGTCCTTCCTGCAACAGTGGCATGAGCAACGACACATTTTACTCAAAATGCCGGCAACAAATTAAGTCGAGAAACTGCCACCGACGCCTGGGTGTAAAAAAACGATTAATGTCTTGCTACGTCAATATTGCCCCAGTCCAAACAATGTATGAAACTCTAAAGTACCGTATTTGCATTCTGTATTATCATTAGGCTTTGTGTGGGTGGAGCGGTAGCACATTGGTTAGGGCACTGCACTATGAACCCCGCGACCCATATTTGATTCTCAGCCGTGGACCAACATCAGTGTTGAACGAGATGTGAACCGGTACTGGGCCGCCCCCCACAACTCCACAAAACCCGCAGCCACCACCACGGTGATGTTATGGTTCAACAACCCCCGTGACTGAAAGGTGTGGGCAGGCCTTCATCCAGCAGCAGATGGACAAAGGGTTGCACGTCAGTATTGTAACTAGGTCAATGATGCTTATCTGTAGTCCTCAAGGGGCACAACATGGCACAGCTTTCCATGTCAGCCACCGCATGTCGTTCATGTGCAAATTAGATTACGGTATTATTATGCAAGCCACTCGCGCTCTCTAAATTGGTCGACAGTGGCCGGGCAGAATTCACGACATGGGCAGGAGGGTTGGCTCCGTTCACCACTCGGTATGGGACGCCCAAGCCGCAATGCGCCCACATCCTCAACATCCACCAACTTTTACGACATCGCGGGGGTCTCCCGTACCTGCCCGATGGGTCACCCTTGGTTTGGCAGAGTTCCGACGGCGGCCGTAGTTCAGCAGCTGCAGCTGGTGGGGGAGGGGGTTGCATTAATTTATGTCGTGCCACACCCGACACCGTCACTCTGAGAAATCCAGTTTGGCCCGAGAGGCAGGTAAGCCTCAGGTTTAATTTATTCCACTGTACCCCACGTTTAACCGTGCTCGGTTGTCTGTCTGTATGCGTGCATGTTGAAACTCTTTCGCACCGTACATAGCCAACCGTGCTAATCAGAGGGAGGGAGGAAGGGGAAGGGGGAGACAACAAACTAAACACACAAAAAGCAGTTCTAAAGAAAGAGTTTTCAACCTATATCAAGGTGCGTAGCTCCAGTGGCTTCCTAATACCGGAAGGAAGTGTCTAAGAGGCAAGAGCACTCGACTCACAATTTGACAGTTACAAATTCAAATCCTGGTCAAGGATCAAGTCAGTCCACCAACATTGCAGTGCTTTGTTCGTGGAGATGGTAGATCGAGAACACATTGTGATCATGAGACATCTATCTAAAGAGGTAGCGCGTTATCTGTAAGAAGCAGCATAGCAAGTAGTTTTCTTTTTACCTATTTGCATGTGTGTGGTTTTTTTTTACAGGCACGCCAGTTTCCTCCCATCCACAAAAAAAAATACTTCACAAGGAACCGGCCAAACATCCCAAGCAGGGCATGCATTGAAGAAGTTAGCCACATGACTCCATGAGGCTTTACTGCGAAAATAAAGCATTACTATAATTACTCTTGCTTTAAGCGGCAACAATCTCTCTACTCTGGTCGGGGAGAGCGGCCAGCTTGCCTTGGCTACGTAAACACCGGCTTGGATCCTACGAACATCACGCATGCTTTGGCCTCGTGATGTAACGTTTCTGCATTGCTCTCGAGCAGTTTGATAGAGCCTCTGCTGTTCCGGGCCGTCGTTACGTTGCTACACCATCCTGGATACAAATGGCGAACATAAACAATCAGCTCCGCTGGCGAGCATTTATGTAACCGTCGGTGCGTTGAACGGACAAACTTGACCCCTGTTAAAATAGCCCTTTACATTTTCTGCATTCATCTCACTGACCGGGCCTTTTTTCTTACTTGAGCATTTTTGGATGCCTTTCAACATTTTAAAACAATGGAAAATAAAACATGAAAAAAAACCTCTGGCAGATATTTCTTTTTGGTTCTAATTGGTTTGTTTATTTGAAACAGCTGATCTATTTTAAAACTGCCCATATGGCATATTCAGAGATGAGCATCAAAGAGGCACGGTTTAAACAAGCCAGCCTAGTCTAATTACAATATTGAAGCTTGCAACTAAATATGAAATATGGATGTGCTCTGTTGTGACAGAGCACACAAATCACAATCAGAAGGTTAGGAGTTCAAAATCCCAATCGGGCATCAACTTGGCCCATGAAATCGAGAACCACTTTCTGGGAAGTCAACAAGGGATGACCCAGGGAGAGACTGGCCTCTGCCACGGGAATCTGGAATTCCCACCACTTCCCAAATGCTCCCAATGTATATGCATGTATGTTACGTATGTTGAACTTATTTTGCACCGTATGTAGCCAACCGTGCTAATCGGAGGTTCGGGGGGAAAAGGACAACAATTTCATCGCAAAAATCAGTTCAATGCTAAGTCGACTTGAACTATTGAGACTAGATGTGGAATAGACTTTAGTTTTGTTTATTTCACTCGGTCTTTCTTTCCGATTATATCCCCAATTATGTAACTGCGTTAGATGAGATAGTGCAATGTCATGAGGTGAAAAATCCAATCATAAATCTCGCAGCAGAGCGGTATGCTGGGTGTGTCAGAGAAGGGCTGTGGACGAACCTTCACACAGGGATATTATATTTCCGCATGATAGATTGATGTTTTAATTCTCAGAAGCAGAATTTCGCTAAAAAAGCAAACAAAGTATTGAATATGGCTTGTTTATGCAGTGATCAGTGACTGGGCTGAGACCATCAACTCATTACATTATTCCCTCGTTATTCACGAAATGTCTATCCGCAATTTTGGCTATCCGCAAATCGCGTCTGGAACTCTACACGACACGCATCTAGAGAGAGAAAAAAAGTAATGAGATAAAGTGATGACAGACAATGTGATGGGATAAAGTGATGAGAGAGAGTGTGATGGGATAAAGTGATGAGAGAAAATGTGATGGGAGAGAGTGATGAGAGAGGATGTGATGGGAGAGAGTGATGAGAGAGAGTGTGATGGGAGAGAGTGATGAGAGAGAGTGTGATGGGAGAGAGTGATGAGAGAGAGTGTGATGGGAGAGAGTGATGACAGACAATGTGATGGGATAAAGTGATGAGAGAAAATGTGATGGGAGTGATGACAGACAATGTGATGGGAGAGAGTGATGAGAGAGAGTGTGATGGGAGAGAGTGATGACAGACAATGTGATGGGAGAGAGTGATGAGAGAGAATGTGATGGGAGAGAGTGATGAGAGAGAATGTGATGGGAGAGAGTGATGAGAGATAATGTGATGGGAGAGAGTGTGATGGGAGAAAATGTGATGGGAGAAAATGTGATGGGAGAGAGTGATGAGAGAGAGTGTGATGGGAGAGAGTGATGAGAGAAAATGTGATGGGAGAGAGTGATGAGAGAGAATGTGATGGGAGAGAGTGTGATGAGAGAAAATGTGATGGGAGAGAGTGATGAGAGAGAATGGGATGGGAGAGAGTGATGAGAGAAAATGTGATGGGAGAGAGTGATGAGAGAGAATGTGATGGGAGAGAGTGATGAGAGAGAATGTGATGGGAGAGAGTATGTGATGAGAGAGAATGTGATGGGAGAGAATGTGATGGGAGAGAATGTGATGGGAGAGAGTGATGAGAGAGAATGTGATGGGAGAGAGTGATGAGAGAGAATGTGATGGGAGTGATGAGAGAGAATGTGATGGGAGATAGTGATGAGAGAGAATGTGATGGGAGACAGTGATGAGAGAGAATGTGATGGGAGAGAGTGATGAGAGAAAATGTGATGGGAGAGAGTGATGAGAGAGAATGTGATGGGAGAGAGTGTGATGGGAGACAATGTGATGGGAGAGAGTGATGAGAGAGAATGGGATGGGAGAGAGTGATGAGAGAAAATGTGATGGGAGAGAGTGATGAGAGAGAATGTGATGGGAGAGAGTGATGAGAGAGAATGTGATGGGAGAGAGTGATGAGAGAGAATGTGATGGGAGACAGTGATGAGAGAGAATGTGATGAGAGAGAATGTGATGAGAGAGAATGTGATGGGAGAGAATGTGATGGG